ACATAATTTTATCCTTGCATTTTATATATCTGTTATTAAAAACCATGAAGGACAAAACAAAATTATCAAGCATGAATACCTTATTACTAGCTCTTCTGCAGTGCAAGTGAATGCAAGTTTAAAGTCAAAAAGGTGACCAAAATGATCACTACCAAGGAGCAGGTGTGATGCCCTGAGGGAGGCAGCATCACCTGTGCAGTGCTTGAGCCAGAAATGCACCACCCAAATCTGACCATAACAATGCATCAGACAAACCCAAAATGAGAAACATTCTATTCAAAGAGGGAGGAGGTGACAGTAGTTGTTAAAAAATGTCAACATCATAAAAGTGAAAGGCTGTGGAAATGCTCCAGACTCAAGGAGGCTAAGAGACAGGGCAGCTAAAGGCACTGCCCGGTCCAAGAGCACATCCTGCATGAGGGCAGGGGTGCCATCAGGACACTATGAAGTCAGCCAACAAAATCGTGGTGTGTGCGGTGGCTTCGGTTAAGTTTCCTGAAGTCAGTAACTTTGCCACAGCTCAGAAAAGAGCATTGTGTCTGTATTCATCCTAAAGAGCTCCAGTAGCAATGCAGATGGGGAGAAATATCATCAGTCAGCGAGGCTGGGAAAAGGGACTTGAATGTTGTTTGTATTAGTCCTACTCTTGCAACAGTTCTGCAAGTTTGAAGCTATTTCCAAATAAAGAGTTTAACTGTTAAAGATGAGTAGAAGAAAATCAACTAGTATTTTTATCCCAGGAGTTGAAGTGAGATAACATTTCTTACTATTGATGAAGTCAAGGCTGTAACTGGAGGACAGGTGAGTGTGCATCAGTACTGAAAAAAGTTTCAGTTTCCGAAATGTCGTGAACACAGTGAGAAGTTTATGTAGATATAGCTGATAGGAACTTATGACATAGTAGAGTCACTGCTGCATGCTGAATGCTGAAGTACTGGGAAAAGGACAGGTAGTGGACAATTTACAGAGAAGTGAATCCTCACAGGGAAAATGCATAGATTCCCTAACCTTGAATGGAACCCTAATGGAAAAAACCTTAAGGTACCATATACCACACCAATTGGTATAGAGTCGACTCTATCTCATGGCAACCACAAGTGTGCAGAGTAGAACTGTGCTCCATAAGGTTTTCAGTGGCTGATTTTTCCTAAGTGGATTGCTAGGCCTTTCTTCCAAGGTGACTCTGGGGGGACTCAAACCTCCAACTTTTCTGTTAGCAGCCCTCCGCGTTAACCATTTGTACTCCCCAAGGGCTCCTTAAGGTACCAATATGTGCTTATTAAACCCACACCAAAAAATAAAAATAAAATTATTCTGTTCATTGCCAGTGGCACTGAGAGGTTCAGAGGTGTTGGACAGCAACCTGGGAATACCCTGGATCTGTGATCACTCTGCCCCAAAAACTAGCTGCTGTGAAAAAAAGCAATTAAACAAAAAGGTAATCTGTATGAAGATCTTTATGACAAGTGACGGACAGTAACTGAAATCTCTGTGGTGAAAGACTGTGAGGAACTTACTAGCTGCTGTTGGAACATACAGTCATTCGTGCACCCACCCAGGAGACATCTGTCAGGCACCCTTGTCTGCGGAGCAGTGGTACTGAGATCACCGACACCCTGCTGCCAGCTAGGTTTGTGTGTTCAGGGGCAGAGATCAAAGGAGATTTTAAAGAGATTCATGTACTTTAAGTTTACTTTTATTTTCCTTAAAATAATATTAGAAACAACTGTGGAGGAAATGAGATTAAAAATGTAGAAGGCCTTCAGAATGGTGGTTTGAATGTTCTTCACATGTCCTCCTGGCTCTGGTGGTATAGATGTGTCTCATTTCTTCTCAGGAATAGAGCAGGTTTCTCAGCCTCAGCATTTGGGGCTGAATGAGTCTCTCTCATAGGGGCTTTCCAGTGCACTGTAGGATGTTTGTAGCATCCCTGGATGTCAGTAGCCACCCCTGCCTCCCTCAGTCGTGACAACCAAAATGCCTCCAGACATTGCCCAGTGTCTCACAGGGGCAACATCACCCCAACTGAGAACCACTGACATGATCTGAATTGAGTTGCTGGTGTAAAAAAATTCTTTTTCCAATCTTTGTTTTAACCCTTCTTGCTCTAGAGCCAGAAATATAAGTATCAAATGTCCCAGCTCAACTACAGAATCCTTCAGCTGGGCAGGGAGGTCTCTGCCTACCAGGCCCGAAACAAGAAGAACCAAGTCACCATTCAGCTGCTAACACAGAGGCTGGAGGAGGCAGGTCGCCAGGAAGAAGAGCAGGTCAGTGGGTGGAGCAGAGTGGGGACGTTAGAGAGGGAGCTCAGGGAACTGGAGACATGCACCACCCAACACATAACCAGCAATGTATATATAGCAAGAGTCTGAAGAATGTCATTAGGCTTTGACTTAATAATTCTACTTGTGGGAAGGAATTTTACGCAAGAGCATTGTGGAAAGATGTAGCTGTAAGTATTTTCATTGCTGAGGTATTTATGATAACAAAACTCAAACTCAGCTTGAATCATCAAGAGTTGGTGAATGTGTCAGTAAGTTATGGTGTTTTTCAGTAGTATTGTGGCATGAGGAAGTGCTCAGGACTACTGAAAATGAAAGCTTAGCGTATAATGCCATCTGCTTTCTGATCCAGTCACATCAACAGGGATGTGTGTAGAAAAAGGGCTAAGGGATCGTAAGTGTTGATTGTAGGAAAAGGGCTAAGGGATTGTAAGTATTGATCGTGGTCCTCTGGATGGTGGAGTCATGGGTGATTTAAATTTTGTAAATTTTGGTTTTCTGTAATTTTCTGAAGTTTCTGCATTATACCAGACTGCTAAGGTGTTTCTTGCATTTGTGAAATTGATCTTTTAAAAACAGGGTGACCAAATCCAAAAACTCAGACTTGAACCTGAACACGAGTCAGGAATGTCAGAGCTTAAAGTTGTCACAGTCCCCACTGGGAGAGGCACTTGAGAGTTTCGGGGTCAGGTAGGTGTGCGGGCGCCTGAGGAGCAGGGTGCAGCCTCTGCCATGAGATGAAATTCAGAGCTGACAGTGTTTCCAGAGCTTGTCCAGCACAGAGAGGTAACGGAGCTGGCCAGGGCCACACAGCAGTTGGGCCCTCACCAGTACAGGACTGAAGTTGCTTGAAGAGCTGTGTCTCATTTTACTCATGGGGAGGACAGTACACAGGGCCTTTGGGTGCACTCCTCTGCAGAACTGAGGAGCTGTGGAAACACTGAGGCTGCCTCTGAGACATGGTAGGAGTGGCTCAGAACCAGGCATTGGGGCTGGACCAGTCAGAGGGTGGCATAATCCCTGTTTTAAGAAGCATAGTGGTACCCTGCCATTCTGTTCCTGGCCACACTCTCCCCTGCAGGGCAATGCAGCCACGACTCCTCACGCTTTTGTGGGCAGGCACCTCCCCTGCGCCAGTCTGTTGCCTGCTGGCCCCAAGACGCAGAGTAGACAGACCCACAGGCAAGAAGCTGCCAGTCTGTGGAGGGCACACACTCCAGGGGGCTCCTATGTGCATGGTACAGGGCCAGAGACCTGGAAGTGGGATGTCCAGAGGAGGTGGGAAGGAGAGCAGGAGTCCCACAGGGAGAAGGGGGTGCTGTGGGCCCGGGGCCACCACAAATGCAGACATCCAGGAACTGAGCCATTCCTTCTGCTGGCTGGAGCAGGAGTGAGGAACAAAGGGATAGCGAGAGACTGTGGTGGTTGGGTCATAGACCCAACTTTCTCCTCAACCTCACTCGGCTGTCCCATCTGAGTCCCTCCTTTGAACCTTTTTGCCCCTATCCCTTGGCCCTGGCCCCAAGTCCAGGGGCTGGATTTGGCCCTGGTCCCTTCCAGATTGCTGAGGCTCAGCTGGGCTTGGGGTACCACAGCGTCTGGTGAGGTACTGCATGAGGCTACTGTGGGTCCTCAGCCCCCCACTGTAAGCAAGCAGCTTCCCAGAAAGGCCTCTAAGTATTTGAGGCTCTTCTCCTGCAGGTTTATTTCTCTATTTTTAGGGCTGAAAGGAACTTAGAGAAGTTTAAGTCCTTTAGGGCTAAGGAGTGAGACCCAGCTGAGAAAGCAGGCCCTTTTCCAGCTCCAGCCGTGCAGAAGGTGCTGAACAGGCTCCAGAAAGGAGCCCACGCCCTCCCAGGGGCTGCCCTGTTCGCTGCAGGTACCATGGGCAGAAAAGCAGCTTGTTTAAGTGCCTCCTGCTCCTTTTTCCTGACTTAGAGGAGTACCCCCAGAACCACGTGTGTGAATTTTGGTGACATCCTTAAGGTTAGGTCAGGGAAGCAGAGCAGCTGACAGGGTGGTTATGGAAACTCTTGGGGAAAAAGCAGGCTTCTCCAAGGGGTGGTGTGGCAAGGAGGTATAGTGCTGACCATGGCGGCCGCGTGGGCAGAGACCAGTGTCGTCACCTTCGTCTCGCCTGGGCCTGGCTCAGCGCAGAGGCAACGCCCTAAGGACTTGGCTCACAAAGCAGATTAGACAGGTATGAGCAGGGGGCAGGGCTGGCTGGGTTCAGCATCCTGGGAAGGGGGAGACGCCAGTGCAGGGCTCGCAAGGGCCCACTGCAGGCCCGCTGCAGGCCTAGCTCAGAGTGGTGGGCGGGCAGGGTCCTTTGGAGAAGCCCTTGTTCTGGTCCTACATAATGGCATAACTGACACTCCCACTCTTAGTGAGTGACTCATGACATCTTTCCCGGCTCTGTGAGCTGGCTGCATTTGGCTGGGAGCCCCATCTGGGCTCTCCTGTGGCTGCAGTCAGATGGATAGGTGGGGCTGGGCTGGCAGTGATCCTGGCTGATGACTCAGCCTGGTGGGGCTGCCGGCTCGAGCACCTGCCGTGGCCTCTCAGGAGGTGTTCCAAGAGGGGAGACAAAAGCTGCTCCTAGCCAAGTGAGCCCTAAAGACCAGCAGATTGGTGGGGGAGGCAAAGGACCCCACCTCACAGTGGGAGAGTAGCAATGCATTCAGGTGGGGAGGGGTCGGTGCCTGCCTCATTAGAGGCTCACAACCAGGCCTGAGCGCCCAGGAAGCAGAAGTTCCTCGTCTTCCTGGCTGTGATGGCATCAGTGTTGGGGAGGTTTCCTCCCCTTTTCATGTTACAAACAGGGTTCTCTGGAGCTGGCCTGGCCTTGCTTGTTGAGAAGGAAGTGAGAAGGACTCTGATGGAATTCAGTTCAGCAGTTTAGGGAATGCCCTCCCTGCGCAGAGGCCTCCCATTTCATCAGATAGGCCAGTCGAAGGGGAGGGTTCAAAACCCAGGACACCTGTCTAGAGGAGGCAGTACGAAGCGTGGGAGCGTGTAGCTGGGACTAGTAGGGAACATCAAAGACCCAGGATTGGGGGCATCTGTCCCATTCTCAGAGTGGGTGGCCACTGGATTTCAGCTGGAGGGTCTGTGGGGCTGTAGATTCCCACACCCAGGCCTTATCACTGAGCACTGGGGGCCACAAATGCAAATTGTTTATAGGGCCCTGAAGGTGATGTGTGGCGAGGCGGTGGGTGAGGCAGCGGGCGTGGTAGGTGAGAGGGAGGGAGGACCAAGGCCCTGTGCAGAGGCCATTGTGGCCTCAGGGTACGGCCCCGTGCTACTCCTGCGTTTAAATAAAAGCCAGCACATGAATCTTCCCAGTTTTTTTGTTTTGTTTTGGTTTTTCCAGTGTAAAACTTCAGTTGTTGTGAGACCTGCACTTCAGTTAACTTTATCTTTGCCTAATTCATTGTTGAATGCTTGCCTAATTTGAAATAGACTTAATTTCTTAGAGCAGTTTTAGGTTTACAGAGAAATTGTGCAGGAAGTAGAGTTCCCATCTACTCTGTTTTCCTCGGGCAGTTTCTCCTGTTACTAACATCTTACATTAGCGGGGTGCATTTGTTACAGTTGGTGAGCCAGTATTGATAGGGTACGATTAATTAAAGGTCCCTGGCTGGCGCAAACAGTTCATACTGGACTACTAACCTAAAGGCTGGTGATAAAAACTAAACTGGTTGCTGTCAAGTTGATTTTGACTCATGGCAACCGCATGTGTTTACAGAGTAGAAGTGCTCCTTAGGGTTTCTTGGCTATAATCTTTACAGAAGCAGATCACAGCCAAGAAAACCTTGTGGAGCACTTCTGCTCTGTAAACATATGGGGTTGTCATGAGCCAGAATTAACTCAATGGCAATGAGTTTTATTATTATTATTAACTAAAGTCCATAGTTCACATTAGGGTTCACTCTTTGTGTTTCCTGTGGATTTTGACAAATCCATGTTGTGTGCCCAAGATTACAGTTTCCTGCAGAACAGCTTCACTGCCTTTAAAATACTCTTCTCCACCTGCTCATCCCTCTGAATCCCCCTGAACCCCTGGCAATCACTGACCTTCTCACTGTCTCTGTAATTTTGCTTTTTGTCATGTAGTTGGAATCATACAGTGTGTAGCTTTTTCAGGCTGGTTTCTTTCACTTAACAATATGCATTTAAGGTTTCTTCTTGTCTTTTTATGGCTTGATAGCTCATTTTTTTTTATTGCTGAATAATATTCCATTGTATAGCTGTGCCACAGTTTGGTTATCCATTCACCTATTGAAGGACATCTCGGTTGCTTCCAATTTTTGGCAATTATAAATAAAGTTATTATAAACATTTGTGTGCAGGTTTTTATGTGGACATACATTTTCAGCTCATTTGGGTAAATACTTAGGAGTGCAGTTGCTGAATCATATGGTAAGCCTATGTTTAGCTTTGTAAGGAACCACCAGACTGTCTGATGTCTGCACAGAGCACCATGCCCTGTGGCTCCTGGTAGAGGACTTGTTAGCATTCCACGTACAGACAGAGGCTTATAGCTAGCTGCTCTTAGACTTGTCCATTGCAGCCGAATGCCGTTTTAAATGCATCTTGAAGTGATTTCTTTTAAAACATAAATGATTGATCTGTAACTTTCCTTGTGGCAGGAAGAACATGAGGAACAGCTGAGAGACACAAAAGAGCGGGTGGGAGAGATGGAAATGATCTTGAAGAACGTGGAAATGCTCCTACAAGAAAATGTGGATGAGCTGAAGAGCCAGGTGAGTGATGGGCTCCTGTCGTTTCCACACACACATCCTCTTTTTGCACATTTCTTCCTCGTGGGTGTTCACACAGCTGGTGTAGGAAGAGACTGTCTTGTCACAGACTCAGGGACTCCATGCTCATTAGGAACCACTCAACCTAGGACTCTGTCTAAACTTCATACTTGAATGTAAAGTGTTTTTTCAGTGTTCATAATTAAAAACAATCAATAGAAAAAGAGCAGATTTTACTAAATGTATAACCTAATCCATTGCCATCGAGTCGATTTCAACTCATAGCAACCCCATAGGACAGAGTAGAACTGCCCCATAGGGTTTCTAAGGAGCGGCTGGTAGATTTCAACTGCCAGCCATTTGGTTAGTAGCCGAGCTCTTAAGCACTGTGCCACCAGGGCTCCACTAAATATATACCCTACACTGTATTTGTGTATTGTACTTATTTTCTTTTGAGAATTGCTTTAGGATTTATTTTTTGAGGTGTTCTCATAATCTCCAGGAGGCTATTCATTCATTCATTCATCAGTCAGTCATTCAGCAAATGCTTACTGAGCACCTACTGTGTGCCAAGGCATTGTTGTAAGTAGACCTGAGACGAACAAGACTAAGTCTCTGCCTCATGGCGCTTACATTCTGGAGGTAGAGACAGCTGATGAGAAGACTGTGCAGGTGCTCTGAAGAAAGCACACTCCCCTGGACTGTAGCATCAAGGTGACGGGGGACCACCCTGCAGAGATGAGGCACCTGAATGGTGACCCAGCATGATCCCTTAGCGGGGGGGAAGGACATTGCTCACTGGTGGACTGTCCTGTGCCTTGTAGGATACTTGGCACCCCTACCGACAGGTGCTAAATACCAGCAGCATCCCCTAATCACTGGATAGCCATAAAAAGATGCCCACACATTTCTGCCTCCCTGCTTGTAGCTGTGGGCAAGCAGTCTCTGCCCCTGCAAAAGGTGCCCCTCCACTGAGCACCAGACACCGTGCCTGTGATGGCTCTGTCCTCCTCCTGCCCTCTCCCCTCCTTCTCCTGTCTCTCGCCTCCCCTCCCCATCTCCTCTCCCTTCCCTACTCCTTTGTATCTCCCCCTTGCCTGGAAGCCTCCCTGCCATCAGTATGCAAACCTGATCTTAAAGAACCCCACCTCCCTGCTCCTCTTTACATGAATACGCTTCAGAGGTCATCTGTGCTAACAGCCCCACTGGCCTCCCCTCCATTCTCTTCTCAATGGCTTAGTCACTGTTACTCCTCCCTCCCTGGGTCCACACCTAATCCAGCAGCTCAGACTTCACAATGGACACCGACTCCAAGCACTCGCACCCCCACTGCTCCCATGCTGGTCTAAGCCCCCTCATCTTTTTGCCATCTCTCCGGTTTCCCTCTTTCTACCCTCGCACTCCTGCCCAGATCTATGCTGAGCACAGGAGCTGCAGCACTCCTTCCAAAGCACAACTGAGATCCTGTCTCCTTGGCTCAGACCCTACGGTGCGTTCCCATCTCCCTCGGAGTAAAAGCCAACCTTGTCACAGTGGCCTCCAAGGTTCTGCTGGATTTAGTGCTTGTCCCTGCTCTGACTCCCTCACCATCTATGTCCCCCCACCACCATGCCCCACCAGCTACAGTGGCTGTCTGCTGTCCCCAATCACCCCAGGTACACACCAGCCTCAAGACCATTGCACTTTCTCTTCCCACTACGTGGATGGTCTCTAGACTCACTCTTGCCCTATTCAGGGCTCTGTTCACATGTCACTTTACAGAGAAGGCCCCTTGGTTCCTGTCTTAGTCTGGGTTGTCTAGAGGAGCAAAACCAGTGAAGCGTATATGTAAATATAGAGAGAGATTTACTTCATGGAAATGGTTCACACAATTGGAGGGGCTGACAAGTCCTAAACCCATGGGTCCAGTGGTAGGCTGGAGACCTCTGCTGGCTCACAGGGTAGCGGGGGCTGGTGAATTCAAGATCTGCAGGTCAGGCAGTAGGCTGGAGACTTCTACAGGTTTATGTCCCAATAACCACAGGTTAGGCAATGAGAAGAGTGTAGTGTCTAGAGAGCAAGCAAACTTTGCCAGAACATCCATTTATATACTAGAGGCAGGCCACAACCCCAAGGCAATTCCCCCTTTGAACTGATTGGCTGCTTATATCAGATCACAAAATGGAAGGTGATTTATGGAAGAGCACCTGCCAAACCATTGAGAATCATAGCTTAGCCAAGTTGACACATAACATTAACCATCCTTGTTAAGTTGGCATCTATACACATTTTCTTAAACCATACATAATCTCCAAATAAATATAATGATAAAGTCATACTTGTCCCTAACATGATGTAATTAATATGGATTCAACTGAAAACACACTAGCACCTTCTACATCTTGTATTTTATAATAAGTAATGGGATAAGGAAGGGAAGAAAACAAAGAAATTTCATACACACACACATATAACAAAACAAGGAAGAAATACTCATAATAATTACAGTCCTCATTTCTGCAACTGGTCACGTGTTTGTAGCAGGTATTTAGAACTACCTTCTTTACCCGCTCCACATTCCGTTTCCCCTCAGCAAGCACCTCAGCTATTCATGGTTTTTCATTTGGTGGGGTGACCCAAACCTTCATTCCTTTAGGGTCTGGGCCATTAGTAATGTTGGAATTGGGTTGCTATAGTTTTCCATTGACTTTAATCAGAGGACATGGTAGTATTAAGAGACGCCCTAAGGGATCTCCTATATTCTAGACATACTCTTCTTTACCTCCATTACGTAATAAGAATCCAATTTCCACTTGATAATCAGAATCAATCACACCAGCCAGTACCCTACTTTGCCTGTTGATCCAGAGGGCATAAGGAGCCCAAAGTGGCCAGGTGGCATTTGTAACTTCCAGTTCAGTGGAATCAGTGTTGTGTCTCCTGGTGGGAGCATTCTTCTCTTTGGAAGCAAGACCTCTAGACAAGCAGAGCATAGGGTCATGGGGAAAGGAAGCAGAAATTTTAGGAGTGGGTTACTAGGGATAATAGTGATGCCACTCCCATTGCCACCCTTGGTTCCTGGACCTGTGAATCCTGGCTATGGGAGAAACAGCACCATATATTGGATGCTGATTTAGAGAATATACAGCCTCTGGAGAATATTATCCCAGGCCTGCAAGGTACTGCCACCTAGCGCCATCATTCTATTAAGCCAGCTGCTTTAGAATGATGGGAAACATAGTAAGACCAGTGAATTCCATGAGCACGGGCCCATTGCTGCACTTTATTTGCTGTGCCATGAGCCTCTTGATCTCCTAGGCAGTGCTTGTGGGATATCATGACGGTGGATAAGGCATTCTGTAAGTCCATGGATGGTAGTTTTGGCAGAAGCATTGCATTCAGGGAAGGCAAATCCATATCCAGAGTAAGTGCCTATCCCAGTAAGAACAAAATGTTGCCCTTTCCATGATAGAAGCGGTCCAATGTAATGAACCTGCCACCAGGTTACTGGCTGATTGTCCCGAGGAATGGTGCCATACTGGGGACTCAGTGTTGATTTCTGCTGCTGACAGATTGGGCACTCAGCAGTGGCTCTAGCCAAGTTGGCCTTGATGAGTAGAAGTCCATGTTGCTGTGCCCATGCATAACCTCCATCCCTGCTACCATGGCCACTTTGTTCATGAGCCCATTGGGCAATGACAGGAGTGGCTGGGAAAATGAGGCTGGCTGGTATCCACAGAAAGCATCATTCTATCCACTTGACTGTTCATATTCTCTGCCGAGGTCACCCTTTGATAAACATTCATATGAGTCACAAATATCTTTACTTCCTTGGCTCATTCAGAGAGGTATATCCACATACCTCTTCCCCATACCTCCTTGTCACCAATTTTCCAATCATGTTCCTTTCAAGTCCCTAACCATCCAGCCAAACCATTGGCCACAGCCCATGAATCAGCATTCACTTTCACATCTGACCATTTCTCCTTCCAAGCAAAATGAACAACCAGATGCACTGCTGAAAATTCTGGCCACTGGGAGGATTTCCCTTCACCACTGTCCTTCAGGAAAGTACCAGAAAAGGGCTGCAGTGTTGCAGTTGGACACTTTCAAGTGGTGCCTGCATATTGCACAGAACCATCTGTAAACCAGGCATGAGTTTTCTCTTCCTCAGTCAACTGATCATAAGGAACTCCCCATGAGGCCATAGTTATAGACTGAGAGAAGGAAGGTAATGTAACAGGAGTGCAGACCACGGGCATTTGATGATGGAGTGCTGCTGTGCACATTCATCTTTATGATTCTGTGCATCAGACAATACCCAGTTTATAATGGGCAGCTCAGGCTGCATGGTCTACTAAGGCCTAGTAACAAGCCATAAGCTGTTTTGCAAAAGGAGAGTAGTTATCTGCAGAGGATAGCAGGGCTTTGCTTCAAAATCCTAAGGGCCTATGCTGTGATTTGCCAATAGGGGTCTGCCAAAGACTCCAAACAGCACCTCTGTCTGCCACTGACACTTCAAGCACTATTAGATCAGCTAGATCTTAAGGCTCAAGTGTGACGGCAGCTTGCACAGCAGCCTGGGCCTGTTGAAGAGCCTTCTCTTGTTCTGGGTCCTACTCAAAACTACCTGCTTTTTGAGTCACTTAGTAATACTCCAGAGCTGAACATACAGATGAGGGATATGTTGCCTTCATAATCCAAAGAGACCCACCAGGTGTTTTGCCTCCTTTTTAGTTGTAGGAGGGGCCAGATGCAACAACTTACTCTTCACCTTAGAAGGACTATTTTAACATGCCCCACACCTCTGGACCCCTAGAAATTTCAGTGAGGGTGGAAGGCTCCAGAATTTTTGTCAGGTTAATTTCTCACCCTCTGGTACACAAATATCTTACCAATAATTCTAGAGTTATTTATACTTCTTCCTTATTAGGTCCAGTCAGCATAATGTCATCAATGTAATGGACCATGTGATGTCTTGTGGAAGGGGAAGGCGATGAAGGTCCTCCTCGCAAACTAAATTATGACATAGTGCTGGAGAGTTGATATACCTCTTTGGTAGGACGGTGAAGATGTATTGCATTGGCCAGATCAGTAGCTGCATACTAGGTACCAGATGTATTAATTTGCTCAAGCAATGAGACCACATCTGGAATAGCAGCTGTAATTAGAGTCACCGCCTATTTTCTGCACAGGTCAAATAGGCAACTTGAATGGGGATATGGTGGAAATTACCACCCCAGCATCCTTCAAGTCCTTGGTGGTGGCAGTAATTTCTGCAATCCCTCCAGGAGTGCGGTATTGCTTTTGTTTTACTGTTTTTTTAGGGGCAGTCCTACTGGCTTCCACTTGGCTTTTCCTACTATAATAACTCTTACTCCATATGTCAGGGATCAAGTGTGGGGGTTCTGCCAGTTGCTGAGTATGTCTATTCCAGTTATGCGTTCTGCAACTGGGGAAATCACTACAGGATAGTTTGGGGTACCACTGTGAGACAGACCTGAGCTAAGACTCCATGAAGAACCTGACCTCCATATGCCCCACTCTGACTGGTAGGTCACAGTGATGTTTTGGGTCTCCTGGAATTAACGTCAATTCAGAGCCAGTGTCCAGTAATCCTTGAAAAGTCTGATTATTTCCTTTTCCACAGTGAAGAGTGACTCTCATAAAAGATGGTAGATCCCTTCAGGGAAGCCGGGGAGAAAGATTAACAACATAAAGTTTGGTAGTGTAGTGGGGCCCTTCTTCAAGGGGACTTAGCCTCCCTTCATTCAAGGGGGTGTGGGTCTGTAAACCCCATGACACTCTATTTTGGTGATTCAAGTTAGACTGCCATTCATTTGACCTAGAATTCTTCTGCTTGTACAGATCAAGTAAATAGTAGATTTCCCATCTGTTTCACTCCTAGGGACTCCATGACTAAGTAGCCAATGCCATAAGTCCATATGAGTCAGACTATTCTGATTACAGCTTTGACTCTGCTGTCCATTATGGTAACCACACCCACCTTGTCTTTGGTGATTAAGTGCTGTCACTTGGCCCCTGCCACCCTAGGATACAATCATCCCCATTGTAGTTAGGTTTTCCAGTTCAGTGAGGTCAATTTCCAATGTAATATCCACCCTACATAGAAGAACAATCGTAGCAGTCTTCAAGGATTCTGGGGCTCCATTCACAAATTTATTCCTCACAATTGTGGTGACAGGTGTATCCTCTGGGCACTCCCTGGGTGGGTAGGTGGGTACAACATGATAAATTCACTCTAACACTAATTTGCTTAAGCCTTTGGATACCTCGGCCAGTGTACCAAGGCAGTTCCGGCATTTCAACTTCATTTAGTGTAGGTCACCTCTTAGTCCATGTTTCTGTCAACCAATCAAATAAACTATTAGGTTCTTTTCTGACCCCTTGAGCTGAAATGATGAAGGAAGTATCTCTGCTTAGTGAGCCCATAGCAATAAATTCAGACTGATCCCACTTTATGTTCTTTGCACCATTATCCCACACCCTTGGTAGCCATTCCCACACATATTCCCCAGATTTCTGTTTGTATCCATTAAAAAAATCAAGCAACTCTTTTAGAGTGTGGCATACCTCCTCATGGGTCATATTTTATACCTCACGTCTTGGGGCACACTGGGACTTCAGTCTAGTTATAGATCTAGAAGCAAAAATGAGTGGTAAGAGTGGGTTCTGGGGACATGCAGTGATGTCTTGCATGGCATTTTCCTCAGGTGGCACCTCAGGCAATGCCTTACACAATGACTTCTCAGACACATCTGGGTTAGTCTCTTCAGATGGGGGTAGAAGGGCTGGTTCTGCTGGCAAAGGTGATTCAGCAGAATTTAGGGTCTCAGTGTCCCCCATATCTGCCCACATTTCCCCATCCCAATTTTCAGGATCTCATTTCCTCCTGATCTGTGCCCTCACATTAACTTCAGACACCTTTCAAGGTTGGGGATGCAATTGACATTGTAATTTAGGCACTCGTGGAATAAGACTCTTAGTTTTCAGCAATATCAACTCTTTACTGTAAGGAATAAGGCTTTCTTTCAGGACACAAATAACAGCTTTCAGGTCCTTTATGCAGTGCTTCAGCTGGGACTTTGAAGCCCTGACCTCATCCTTTCCTTTCTCCACGTTGTCTAGCGAAAGTAGGAGAACCAGCCAGCTTTATTATACTTGTCAGTTTAACAAAATTGTTGAAAGGTATCAAATACACAGATACCCAGAGCCTTGTCTCTCACAAATATTTGATCTAATGGTAGTGATATTTTGCATATCTTTATTGCCATCTCATGCTATGGATTAGCAGTGCCCTCTTTATTACTGGAAATAAAGTAATTAGTGCCTTTAAATCTAGCCAGACTTGGAACCAGTTTAGAAAACTCATCCTTAAGATTTTTGTTCCTCTGGAATCACTCTTGGTACCGAATGTCTTAGTCTGGGTTCTCTAGAGGAGCAAAACCGGTGATATATATATATAAATATAGAGAGAGAGATTTCCTTCATGGAAATGGTTGACACAATTGTAGGGGCTGGCAAGTCCCAAATCCGTGTGTCCAGTAGTAGGCTGGAGTCCTCTCTGGGCTTATGGGGTTGCGAGGCTGGCGAATGTAAGATCTGCAGGTCAGGTAGTAAGCTGGAGACTTCAGCAGGCTTACATTCCAAGAACCAGAGGTCAGGCAAAAAGAAGAGTGCAGGGTCAAGAGAGAACAACCTTCACCAGCACATCCAGTAATATAATGGAAGCAGGCCACACCCCCAGGGCAACTCCCCTTTCAACTGATTGGCTGTTCACATCAGATCACAAAATGGAAGGTATTACATTGTGGAAGAGCACATGCCAGACCACTGAGAATCATAGCCTAGCCAAGCTGACATAACATAACCATCACAGTTCCCCCAACCAAAATAGCAGCCCCTCCTCCTGCTTGGTATTCTCTTCTTAGCACTTCTCCCACCTACCATACCACGTTTGCTTCTTATTGGTCTCCTGCTGTTAGAATATGTGCTGCACAGTGCAGACTGTGCTCACCGCTGCTTTACCAGTGCTGGAGCAGGGCTGGCACACAGGGGGACTTAGTGACCATTTGTTCAACAAGTGAATATGGTGTTGACTTAGCCCCATGCTGGGATCCCTGTGCCCTCGTATTTTGAATGAGGTTGGTGCCAAGGCTAGCGTGTCCACTTGCACACATCTGTGAAGCCATGTGTGTACAGCAGCCCACTCACACCCCAGGCAGCAGCGGCAGGGTCAGTGCCACAGTGAGTCCTGGGTGACGGTGCAGGGTGGTAGAGTATGCTGAGATGAACCAAACTTGTTGGCATTCTTGGCAATTTTGTTGTTTTGCATTGCACTGAATAACAGCCTTTCAGAAGTCTGTTGATTTTGGTCTTTTAGGTCTTTATTTCATGTTAAAATGATTCTCACAATTTCCCTTAAATTTCCTCTACTACAAAGTTCATCACATTCTCAATTTCCTGCCTCACTTCAGAGTAAAAAGAATTGTCGTTACATACAATATTTGTGTCAGATCCATAAGGACCTAAAATCATTTCAACAAATGTGGAAGGGTATGGGGGAGGGGGCAAGCATTCCTGCACCTGACTCACCGTAAAGTGTGACTCTCTTCCCTCTCTAGTTTGAAAAAAACACAAAGTCTAATTTGCTGCTCAAGGAGCTTTATGTGGAGAATGCACACCTGATGAAAGCCTTACAGGTCACTGAAGAGAGGCAGAGAGGGGCTGAGAAAAACAACCTCATCTTGGAAGAAAAAATCAGAGCTCTCAACAAATTAATCAGTAAGATTGCTCCAACATCTCTCTCTGTGTAGACTGCTTGTTTTCCTAGAATTCGTTCTGAAAAGAACATCTTTTAAAACTAAGCCACTGTGATGCCATAATTTTCTGTGGCTCATTGGTCATGCATCCTCAAGAATATGAGGATTGTGATTCTTGGCTCAATCCAGAAACCTCTTTCAAATGTCTACTCTGTGCCATATGGTGGGGAAATATACATGTTGGACAAGAACACATTTTTATAAAATTCCTAATTTTGCCACTCACTGGTGAAACATTATGGAGACTCTCAGCAAGGAGTGACTTCAGAGAAAATGGGTTAAAATAAATTTAATTCCAATGTTGTCCTTTTTACTTTGGCTGCAAAGATTAAAATGCAAAATTAGTGCTCTGTACAGCTTTACCGTTTTGTTATTACTGCTTTGGCTTAGATTACAATTCTTAATTGTAGGTCTGTGCAAACATTCCAGAAAAGCATCATTCCATGAACTGTTAACAATACAGGAGGAGAAACTCTTTCTTTAGGAACCACTCCACCACGTGTGGATATTTGCACAGGGATAGGCCTGTGGACTTGGGGATGATGTATTTATTACAGATGTAATATTTGGTTCATTGAAATGTCTTCACACTGGAAATTGTACTATATGTAAAAAAAAAAATGTAGAAGTATGGTTTTATATATAAAAACTATGGTTGTTTGGTTTATCTGAATGTACTATTGTGACATGAAAAGAGTCACTATATTTGCAATAGACTTTTTTCTATTAAAAAACTGAATTAACTTCCACATTTGTTTTTAATTTTTTAATTATAAAATATATCAAATGTATACATAGAAAAATATGGAGTTTTAGGAGAAAAACCCACGTGCCCATCAACTAGATGTATTAAAAATAACATTTTGATAAATGCTTTTTAAAAGGCATAAAACATTTTAGATAGAGGCAAAGGCCCTGTTCTACTGATCTCAATCCGCTTTCTTTTCCTATAGGCACCCACTATCCTGAAGTTGGTATGTCTCCTTCTCATCTCTTTGTACATTTATGATACGTACATGTATGAGAAAAAACAAACAGAAAGATCAATTCTTGGATAGGAAGACTCAACAACAAAGTTGGTGGTTCTCCTAAGTTAATTGATAAATGCAGTACATTCCCAATAAAAGTACAAACAATTGTCTCCTGCCCCAATCAAGGCCTTGCTCCAGAATTAGATAATCTGATTCTAAAGTTTATATGCACAACTAGATAAGCAAATAAAATAATCAAAAAAACGCTGAAAAAAATAAGAGCAATGAATGGGGATTAGCTATACCCAGTTATTAAAATATTAAATCTTAATACAGTTCGGGTTACATGGGTGTATGTATGCATTTGTTCTCTTCTTTGTTCACTTTGGGCTTCCAGCTGGAATTTTAGTAACAAGGAGATTGGAATTAATAGACCTGAAAACACTTTCAACCAATTGACATTTATAGAACCTAGCACTCAACAACAGCAGAAGCAAGAGCATACAAAGCATTTACCAAGATATACCATATTCTGGGCCTTGAAACAAGTCTCAGAAAATTTAAAGGATTCAAGTATACAGTCTGACCACAATGGAATTAAATTAGAAATCAATACCTGAACGATATTTGGAAAATACCCAAGTATTTGAAAACTGAACAACACACTACTAAGTAACTAATGAAATCAAAGGGATGATTAGGAAATGTTTTGAACTGAATGAAAATGAAAACAATATATCAAAATTTGTGAGATGGGGCTGAAGTATTACTTAGGGGAAAATCCATAGCACCAAGCACCTGTATTAGAAAAGAAGAAAGGAATTAGATCAGTGACTAAGCTTCTACCTTAAATGACTAGAAAAGGAGTAAATTAAACCCAAAGTAAACAGAAGAAAGGAAATAAGATCCAAGCAGAAATCAAGAAAGTAGAAAAAGGATTGGCACACTACATGTGTTAAGTTAAACCCAGCCCCAAGACCTCTCTTTATAAATAAAGTTTGATTGGAAAGCAGCCACGTGCGTTCATTGGCACACTGGCTACAGCTGCTTTTGCTCTACAACAGCAGCACTGAGTAGTCCTAACAGATTGTATGGCCTTCAAAGTCTTAAAATACAGAAGAAGTTTGCCAACCCTAAAATAACAAACAGTAGAGAAAAATTCAATGAAACTAATGGCTAGTTCTTTGAAAAGATTAATATCATTTATAAACCTCTAGCCCGACTGATCAGGAAAAAGAGGGAAAATAGAAATTACCAATATCAGTGCTAAGAGAGGTGACATACTACAAAATCTACAGGTATAAAAGCATAAGGGAATATTATGAACAACTTCATGCCAGTAAATTTGACAGATGAAATGTATAAATAATGTATAAACTTATTCAAGAAGAAATAGATCACCTAAAACTCTAGACCCAGATGGCTTAACTAGTGAATTCTACTAAACATTTAAGAAAGAAATAATACCAATTCTATACAAGCTCTTCCAAAAAACTGAAGGCGAAGAAATCTGAGGTCAGGATTATCCTGATACTAAGACCAAAGAAATGATGAGTACAATACAGACCAATATATATCCCTTATGAACATACCGGTCAATGTCAAATCAATTGACTCATAGCGACCCTATAGGACAGGGTAGAAACTGCCCCAGTAGGGTTTCAAAGGTGTAATCTTTATGGAAGCAGATTGTCACATCTTTCTCCTGTGGAGCGACCGGTGGGTTCGAACTGCCAACCTTTGAGTTAGCAGATGAGTGTTTAATCACTGTGCCACCAGGGCTCCTGCTTATGACCATAGATACAAAAATTTTAAGAGAAATTTTAACAAATAAAATCCAACAAAAACGGATAATACATCAATGATTAATTGGGGTTATGCCAAGAATGGAGGGTTAGTTTAACATTGGAAAATCAATCAACAGTCGATCAATTTAATTCACCATATTAACAACCTAAAAAAGACACACACACAAAAAAAAGAGATAATAGATGCAGAAAAAGAATGTAGCAAAACCCAGCATCTATTCCTGATAAAAACTCTCAGTAAACTGGTATTATAAATTCCCTTATGAACTCAATCAAAGATATCGACAAAAAAAAACCTACAGCTAATATCATACATAAAGGTGAAAGACTGTAACACAAATGAAGTCTTGATACATACTACAGTATGGATGGAGCTTGAAGACTTTATGCTGAATGAAATAATCACAAAAGGACAAACATTGTATGATTTCACTTATATAAAACGATAAAAAGCCAAATGTATAGAGATCAAAGTTCATTAGTGGTTACCAGGAGCGGGAAAGAGAGAGAAAGGGGAGGGTTATTGCTTAAGGAGTAGAGTTTCCTTGTATGGTGATGGAAAAATCGCATTGATTAAGGGTAGAGTTGCACACCAATTATTGTAAGTGCTGTCAGTAAGTTGTATACCTGTAAAAAGTTTAATTGGTGAAAGTTGTGTGATAGACATATTTACAACAATGACAAATAGAAAAGATTAGCTGCTGAGGCTGCTTATGTACAACCAAACAACTCATGGGATTTGGTTCCTTGGTTTGGATGTTTAGGGTCATGGTTTTATGGGATATCCCAGTTAACTGGCCTAATAATAATGTGTTTAGTATTTTTGTTCTACCTTCTAGTTTGTGGTGTAGTTCATGTGGTCTTAAAAGCTTTCAAGCAGCCATCCAAAGCACAACAATTAGTCTCTATTCACCTGGAGCAATAGAAGAAGAAGAGAGTCAGGACTAAGAGGCAGATACGGAATGTGTGGCTACTCTCCTCCATGAAAAACTGCCTCCTTTGCCATGAGACCAGAAGAACTGGATGGTGCTGTGTTACCATTACTGAACACTTTGATCAAAGATTCTACAGAAGAATCCTGATCAAAAGGGGTAAAATGCAGAACAGAAATTCAAATTCTCATGGACTCCTGACTTTCTGGAGCCATGGAGGCTAGATGAACCCCTGAAACTATTGCCCTGAAATAATTTTTAATAAACCAAAAATATCCCCTGAAGTCTTCTTAAAACAATAGTTTAGCTTAACTAATAAAAAATGTCTGCTCTGGCATTATGCTCTCTTAAGAACTATCTATATGGATCAAATTGACAACGGCAACTCAAAAGATTAGACAGGAACCTTAGGGGGTGATGAGTTTATATTAATAGGGAAGGAACAACTCAGAAAAGGAGGGTGACAATGGTTGCACAACTTGAAGAATATAATCAGTGTCACTGAATTGTACATGTAGAAACTATTGACTTGGTTTATGTTTCACTGTGCGTATTCTCAACAAGAAAAAAATAAAGAAAATTAGAAAAGAACAAGTTGAAAGAGTGCTTTCCTCCAAAGATTAGGAACAAGACAAGGATGTCTGCTCTGACCACTTTTATTCAACACTATACTGGAGGTTCTAATCAGTGCAGTCAGGCAAGAAGAAATAAAAGGCATCAGTGTTAGAAAGGAAGGAGTAAAACTTTAGTCATAGAAAACGTGATGATGAATATAGAAAATCTGATGCAATCCACAAAAAAAAAAGCTACTAGAATTACTATGTGAGTTTAACGAGGTTACAGGATATAAGATCAGAATACAAAGAAATCAGTTTGTATTTCTATTTCCTGCAGTGAACAATCAGAATTTGAAATTTAAAAATATCATTTACAATAGCACCAAAATATGAAACACCTAGGGATAAATGAGACAAAAGATGTGAAAGACCTGTACACTGAAAACTACGAAGTACTTCTGAGAGAAATGAACAAAGCCATAAATAAATGGGGAGTTATACTTTATGTATAGGTCAGAAGACTCACTATTGTTAAGATATCAATTCTTCTCAAATTGATATATAGAGTCAATGCAATGCCAGTCAAAATCTATGCAGACTTGGTTTTCTTCTTGTAGAAATTGAGAAGCTGATCCTAAAACTCATGAGAAAAGCAAAGAACCTAGAATAGCCAAAAGAACTCTGAAAAAGAATAAATTTGGAGTAATAACTACTTATTTTAAGAATTATTATAAAGTTACAATAATCAAAATAGCATAATCTTGGTGTCAGCAATGGAACAGAATACAGTCCAGAAAAAAACCTACACATATACACATAGTTTATTTTTGCATAAGGTGCAAAGATGATGCAGTGGAGGATAGCATTTTCAACAAATGGTACTAGAATAACGATATCCATATGCCCCACTTCCCAAAAAAGTGAACTTGGATCCATACCTTGTACTGTATACAAAAATTTAATTCAAAATTGATCATAGACCTAAGTGTAAAATTCAGAAGTATAAAACTTCTAGAAGAAAACAGGAAAAAAAGAATTTGTGACCTTGGGTTGGGAAAATATTTTTTATATAAAACATCAGAAGCATAAAAGAACAAATGATCATGTCAGGGATTTTGGGAAGATGTCAAGGTGAGCAGGTCTAAGATCCCAACCCTCTCCACATGAACATCCAGAAAAGCTACTAAAAACCTACAATCAGCCGTGTCAGACTCTGAAATGATGGGCAAAAACCACAGCAAAGATTTGAAAACTGAATCAAAACAAA